GTTTATTGGTACATATTTCGTTGCATATTTTGATATTATAAAGAAAGATTTTTGTAGTAATAAACTTAAACATGTATAAATTTGTGCCCTAGTTATTATTTTTAGATGGTGGTTGGATGAGTGTTGAATATATATATACTCAACACTCATAATAATAAGTATTTAAACATTTCAATAAGATAAAAGCTTGAGGTACATTATATTATGTATTTTTAATTTTTAAAAATAATGGTTTTTKATGTATTTTAACATTTTGTTTTAGTGGTGGGTCAAAAGAAATTAAAGTGTTTGAAGATATAATTAAGTTCAAAAACTTAACTGGTTGTTCAAGTGTTATGATAGCACGTACAGCGGAAAAAAATTGTTCTATATTTAAACAGGACGGGAAATTAGAATTATTTACTGTAATAAGAGATTACCTACGCCATGCTATTGACTACGACAATGTTGCTCCGAATACAAAATACTGTATTCAAAATATGCTTCAAAATATTCAAGAAACAGAACAGGGGAGAAATTTTTTGGAGTCAACATCCTTACAACAAATTTGGTATTGTAACTATTGTTTTATTTGCAACTTATATAGTCTTTTAGTCTTTAAATTTTGATTTATTTTGACTTAGCTGCTTGTAAAATGCTATACAAATGTGAACCAATCCTAATAAATTTAAAATTCTGAATAAATAATTTTGATTTTCTAGTGATCTATGGGATATAGGTGATTACTGTCGTCAAAAACAAAARAAAATGAACTATCTTCGTTTTGAAGAAAGAGATGTTGTGTGTAATGACCAAAAACGAACTAAGGTGAATTCTGTTGACGGAGATGAATCAAATTATGATCATAGTTTAAAGTGTATGTATATACGATCATTATATCCAAGACCTGAAGACTTGCCAAAAACTAAACTGTTAAATTGGGCGAAAAAACACAATAAGCCATTACCAAAATATCATACTGAACAACGTGAAAAACTTTTCAAGAGTACAKTGACATTCGACAATCAAAAATATTCATCATCCTTTTGGTATTTACTTATTTTTGAATACAGAKGAATTTAGAATATTTATTTTATAGTAAATTTGTACTTTTCAGGGAAAAAAATAAAAGATGGGCAGAGCAGGGTTCTGCAATTGTCTGTTTACATTACTTGAAGGTTTATGACATTGACTACATGAAAATGAATGGAATTCTTGGTTAATAATACATTTTTATTGTCTTGAAATTTTCTTTTCAACTAAATAAAATTAATATTATAACATTAAATATGTATTTCATTTTTAACATCTTACATTTTTCTTCAACATTACTTTAACTATTAAAGGTACCTATGTTTGTTTGGATACATTGTAAATACATAGTATTCTAATCATCAAAACTGAAGTAGATTTCTATAAGTTATATAACCAATAAACATTGTATTCAAATTTTAGACTTAGATATAATAGACTGGTATTGAAATGATACCAATGAATGTAAAAACAAATTATAAGCATGAAGTAATGTATTAAATTTAAAAAAAGAATATTGAGGAAATTGTCCTGACTCCTGACTCAATTAGAYCAGCAATTATGACTTTATGTAGAAAATGTATGTCTTTTCAAGGGATACCAGAGTTAAAGAACAAACTAAAGGTTCATAGAGTTGTCTAGGAATATCACATTTATGACTTACAAAATCAGGAGAAGTGATATAAATAAAAATGATTTTTTAGATGTTAGGTATCTAGAAATCTAGTTGTCATTTAATAGCAGGTAGGTTACTTGTCGTTTCTTCCTTAGCACATGGTGAAATTATAAAATTAGTCTAACTCTAATAGTTTTGGCTCTACGTTAAAATAGAAAAACGGGAAGCAGGAGTACCATCCATTCTCGYCGAAGCCCTTCAGCCAGCCAACATTCAAAACACGATATCATTTATAATCAATTCTAATTTAATCAACCTTCTGTAAAATGCCGAGGCTTTTATTAATAAAAAAAAAGCGGGTAATTCGTGGATGTCGCTCTGCTGTACAGTAGGTTACAAGTGGGTTACCTACTGTAATGGATGAAATTAAATTTGAATCCAATGATATTATTATGTATATCATTGTATACGAAAAACGATTCTGAGCGGAGACGGTTTTTCTGTCTAGGATATATTATAGATTATTAAAAATTTTCAAATCTTGGATTTAAAATGAAAATTTCTTATGAATTTCTATCTAAGATAATTTGAACATTGCCGTAATTTTTACGTTTTAAATTTGAACTTCAAATGCTAATAAAAAAATTGTGACTATGTATTCTTATATTATATTTAATCACTATAAGAATAACTATGAGAAACTTTGTATTAAACTTTCAAGTATTTTGATAGGGCCAAAAAAAATTTATCGACACTTCAAAAAAAAATTTTAAATTTCAGTTGTCTACAAATATCTCAAAAAAAGTCAAAATATTTTGAAAATTAAACTGTATATAGATAACATTTGGTGAAAATTTCAAGTATTTACAGTGATTAGTTTTTGAATTACAACCATGTAAAAAAATCGGTTTGGTCAAAAACTAGTTTTGCGTGAAAACTCCCGTTTTCTGTCACTTTTTTTTGTTTTTTTCGATWTTTTTGAAAACTGTTGGAAAATGTTTACTTTTGATCTTTATAATACACCAAGGATATTCAATTTCCCATCGGAAACCACCCACAAAGTTTGAAATTGAAGCATTATTTCGACTAATTATGCTGTACACAAACACAATAAAAAGCAAAAACACATCATTGACTAAAATCAATACATTCATATTCATCACTCCGTTCAGAATTTAAAACTGTTCGAGTATGTACAAGAGTGAAGAGACATCTTATTCATCATCCTTGTATATAATAGTAGTTTAATTTTCACACTTTCGTATGATTTACAACCTGATGTGAAAAT